TGTTAAATATTTATGTTTTAGCAAAGAGGAATGGATAACCATTTATAACGCCAGTAAGAAACAGTATTCCAACTATGAGAAAGCCTGAAATTTAAACTCAAATTATTTATTTTGTTAAGGTTATTTTTATTGGTCAGCATTCAGCTCACAATTACCGTTAGTTAGAATGGAAGACTACTCTTTTAACTTTTGAAGATGATTGTTAGTGGGGATATTAATTATACTACAAAGAAAAACCCAATCCCTTATGATGATAATATTACATCATATTTTAGTAGAATTAAAAAATAAAGAACCTAATGTACCCAAATAGATTACAAGAAAAAACAAATAATGAAATTTTCGAAATACGTCATCCTTTTGTCATTTAATGAATTCTCTGATCATAAACACATATTTTTTTTAAAATTTTCTCTAGAAAACTTATTTTAGATACCTGTAATAAACTAGATTTAACGAAACTTAAGCTGTTCTTAAAGGTTCTCAATGAGCTCAGTTCCTTTATGAGATTTATTTTCATTTAATTACTGAAGAGCTATTAGGGAGAATCATGTTAAAAATTATATGCAGAAGTATTAAAATTAAACACAAAAATAAAAATAAAGATAAGAAGTTTATTGTTAAAGGAACATCAAAATATTTGCATCTGCAGATGATTTTGCAATCACTAAATCACTTGCTGAATAGATTTTGAAAGAATTTATTGAACTAGCATAGGAATATAACTGTACTAAAATCTAATTATAAATAATTTTGACCTTTTTGGAATAGAAAATGTTAGAAATATAAAATTGTTAAATATTGTAACTAAAAAAATCTATTAAATTAATCTTTATGCCTACACAAGATAAAGTAATAGATGATATATGGTCATAATTCAGTAGAAATTCTTTAATGAATTAATTAGATAGAATTAATGTATGTATTAAAGAAAATATTATATATTGAATGATAAATGGTTTTTTTCACTTAATAGGGTGTACAATTAAATATCTCCACATTTTGGGTTTCTTATTTAAATATTACTTCTCTTGAAAAAAATTTTCTTAAGGAAGTCAATGGATTTTAACTATTAGGCAAAAAATGATTTTTTGCTGTTTACTGACTTCCTCTCGTTTGTAAAATATACTAGCAACCAAATTAATTTGAAATTTATAATTTTGATAATTTATAATCAGAAGAGATTGAAATACGTAAATGTTTGTGAGTATGAAATTTTTTTAATTTAATAATTTCTTATATTATATAATTGAATTATGCATAATAGGTATCAATCCTAAAAGAATTATTAAATTAGCAAAATTTCCTATTATTAATTTTCAACCAGCTAAATTCACCTTCTCAAAATCATCAATTGTAAAATTATCTATTTTCACTTTTTTATTATTCA